GCGGTACGGGGATTATGAATCAGGTGTAATAGACCATCATGTCTGGAATGCGGAGGTCATAGAAGGAATGGCGGGAGATCTTAATCCCCGATGGGATGTTTTCATGTCCACTACTTTGAGCAACTGTAATGCTACTATTGGACTGATTTCGGGATGCATGTCCTGGGCAGCTCAATACCTAGGTTGGTCCTTTCTAGTCGAATATTCTGTTATCGAGAGAAATTAACCGCAGGTAAGATACTGAACTCGGTGATTCGGACTCGACAAGCATCTTAAGGGATGCTCTTTGGACCCGCCGACACTTACTACTTGATGGAATCAATGATGCCTGCTCGGCCCTTGAGGATAGTCTCCTGTATGCTCTCCCATCAGTCAGCCTTGCTACATGAAGTTCGCTGATTTAGTTACATTCAGGGATCTAAGAACCGATATGCTCTCGGGACATCGAACATCCTTGATTGGTTTGGCCCTTGAAACTACCTACGATGACGCTATAGCGGAAAGCGGTAAGTCTTCCTCTTAGAATTGCAGCACCCATATGTCTGACGATTGTTCAGGGACGGGGAGTACCGCGCGGAAAAGAGCCATCATTAACAGCAAAGTAGCGGACCCTAGATTATTTACGGATCTAATTCGACAGAGTGAAGGGAAAATAAGGGCTCTCGCTTTTGACTTCCAAACCAAAATCCGGGGAATTATTCAGGTCCATCTTACTCATCTCGAGGGCACCTTGAACTTGGTGCGAGATGAGAACGTGGCTTTAGAAAGTGAGAGGGACCCTGCTTTTCGACGTCGTGTTGAACATGCAGCGACACTTGCCCGAGGCGAAATTGGAGGCATCGTCTCTGGCCATGGTTTGTGAGGGGCCAAGCACTGAGTTGCTTACCTTGATCATACTTCCTTTAATTAACAGCTATCAAAGCCTTATCAAAAACTCTATATAGCTCTCATAAACCTACTATAAAGACAGTAGAAACCAAGATCAAGTTTCTATAATAAATGTCATTATTAACCTAGTCGGTGTCCCAAATTCGCCCTGACTTCGCCCACCTCTAGTCAGGCTCTTGTCCCAGGGCACCAGACGAGCCTAAAAACAGCCACTTCCGACGGCCCGGATAGAACTCGTCTAGAATGGGAGGAGGAGGGGCGGGGACTCAACGCCCTCTTCCATAGGCCAACAATCCATGGCTTGAGACTCGAAAAGATCGAGCCTCCGGAGGCTTCGCAGAATGGTCGGACCTTGCAAGCCGCCACGTCTGCGATAGTCCCAGCCCCTCAAATCGTTATCTTCGTGTTCTTTACCTTTTTATTAGGCAGGATTGCGACACGTTTTAATGATTCTGATCGGAGACATGAGTTAGCAAGCTCTAAGCTTGATAATGTATTCAATCTGTTTCCCAGAGTTTAAACAGCCCAAGCTTCTAATTAAAGCAAAATATGAATTGGACAAAAAAGGTACATTACAAAGTCTAGTATAAAAGAATGATATGATATGTGCGAGCTCTGTTTTATGATTTTTCTTTACCGGTCTACGCCTTGCCTATAAGGTGTTAAACTTAGCAAATATTCTCTACATGTTGTTTTGAAAAGACTCTGATAATGTAGGCTATAAATTTAATAGGTAATCCTATGAGTTCATGCATTAGTCTATTTGTAAGAGTCTTAGTTGTTGATAGAGCATGTTATAGGAATTCGTTGTCTAAATCGCGACAAATGTTTAAAGTCTTTGCCTATATATATCGATACTACTATAAATATAAGCAGTATAAGAGGTTAATCTAGTTATAGTTAAGGAATCATCTAGACAGAACGTTTAATTAAACCCCCTAGTCACCTTTACCACATCAAAGAGCTAACACAGGGATCACCTAGAGATCACCTCGGTCACCCCGAGAAAAGAGTCTAGAGTAAGCTTCTAGCAGCGAGGCTCACCCACCTCACCTCACTGGTTCGAATATAGTGACCCGAAGTATCTCCGTCTGCAAGTCTGTCGTATTAATAAGAAATGAACCTTCTCCCAGATAAGTGACAGTATCGGGTCCGGACTCCGTAAGGAGCTCATTGCGGCCATTCTTGGATGGGGTTTTGAAGATTTCGTTTACTTAAAATCGAAACATTGAATGAACAGTGCTCGCACCTTTCCCACCTCCTCAAAGAGTATCCGCTCCTCTGCATCCTCAAATCCTGTGTTCTCAAACGTGATCGGAAACACCAATGTTCTATTGTGTCTTACTATTTGGGGTGCCGAAATGTGCCTCCAATCATTGGTGTCGTCATTATTCCATGCCTGTACGACAGCTTCGTGATATTGATCCTCTTTGCTCCTCGTGTGCAGAGGAATAGTGGTGGCATTATTCAAGACACCGATCCGACCCAGCTCATGAATCCAGTCCTCAACACCACGGGCCTCTACAGCTTGGTTACTTCTGTAGGTCCCTCTCGAGTTATCTGGAGCCCTGCCTGACTAGCGTCTTTGTCCGATGTTATAACAATATGTCCCCGTCCTTATAATGCTAGAATGGAACTCTTTCCGTAATATAAAAAGCCCCCATTATGCCATGCCACTTATAGCGAGCACCGTTGATGGCCCCTCTCCCTTATCTCTTTCTATGATCACCATGGAGGCGGATAACACGCGTGACCAAACCATCTCAAGTGGCTCAGAGACACCAGAACAGAAACAATGTAAGTCAATGTTTGAAGCCTAAAAGCGTTTATGGGCGATCTGCTAACAAAAATAGTGAGTCCCAAACTCTACGCTCAACTGGTTCATGGCCTTTCGAAACGGACGTCCCACTTCTCATACTCCCGGAAACATTACGCAGCGCTTGCGCGGTTTCTCATGTCTCCTTATCAGAGGTATCAGCTAGATGAATTATCGACATCCAGTGACGCATCGACAAGTTTAATTTGTGTACTAGACCCAGAGCAAAGTGGTGAAAACCGCGTGCATATCATTGGCAGCTTAGAGGACTTGAACAGATATGATGGAGAAGGCAAGAAGGAAGCAGACAAGAGGCCGTCTGCTCTTTCTCCAGGGGTTTGTATCACCTATGTGGCTTAATTGCCTTGGCTCCAAGTTCGAAGTAGATCCTGAGTTCTACTTCCGACATCTTGATTTCACTTCGTTGTTCCCATCACCTCATCACTTCACCAGAATGTCGTTGCCATCCATGGCCGACATCGTGCGTAATCACATGGTTTCCATTCTTTCATGGAACGGTGTTAACCCATTAGCGGACTCAACCGCCGAGTTACGGTCGTCTTGCAAGACACAAATGAGCAGATATCTCCACAATCTGGTGAACGAGCAGGAGATCATACCTGGTGACTCTGTTGTCTGCCGATTCTGGCATCCGACGCCTTCTACGCACTCGAGGATCTGTTCCGCATATCGATTGCATCAGAATCTCAGTTTCTCGCGCTACTCTCGCACAAGATCAAAGTGGCAATTGCCGACCGGCAGATCGAAGACTTGAACAACTACTCACGAGATATTATTGAAGACCATATTGAAGCTATTCGCGAGAACATTGAGTCGGTCAGAGTCGGCGGCCATCTAAACGGGCCTACGGCGTCTGAGCAGACCCAATGTGCGACGGCTTTGGAGAGCACAAACGAATTACAGAAAGATCTGGAGCATATTCTGATATATGCCCAACGACTATTCAAGATGTGCACCGAAGAAATTACGATGATGAACGATGAGATGTATCGGCAATGCCAGCTTGCTCTGCAGGAAACGAACGCCACGCTAAAGCTGAGCACTCTCGTCTTCTTTTTCGCGTCTATCAGCGTCACAACTTTGTTGTTCTCCATGAATATGACTGAAATCAGTCGTGGCAATATGAGCATTTGGGTTTGGGCAATTACATCACCGGTCGTGGTCGCCATTTCCTATGTTTTTTTTCGGGATTTGAGATCTGTGTCATCAATTGAGGCAAACTTACCGGCGCTGTCGGACATTTGACTTCATTATGAGTCGTATCCTACACATTGTGAAACCGACATATATTGATATACACACTATATGGCATAGGTATCTTAGTCTCCTCTTTTATGTCTACCCTTTTTTCTAAGCTAGGTATTGATGATTTCCGTAATCGCGATAGATATCACTGTAAAATGTTGAGCCAATTACAGGCTATATGTCATCAAAGTCCTATAAGCAGAAGCCACCAACTGCGTCCGTTCCAGTTATAATTCGCCAATACGAAATGATATGAGGTAGTCGACGCAAACTTTTACGGTCCTTGAACGAATCCATATCACAAAGCAAAAGTGGACTGCAAAAAGAGACCGGAATTCTATTAATTCTTTTTCATACAATCATCAAAAAGCACTCCTATCTGAATATCACCGCTACTTGCCTCCAAACCGCTGTCGTTACAAGACCACCCCAGCCCCTAAGATGATGTTTGAACGAGGAGCCAAAGATATTGCTGATGCTAGGTGCTGTGCTTATCCAGAAGGCGCCCATATGATATGGGATGACTCATGAGTTCGAAGCTGGGTGGGCGCTCCGCGAACGCTGAACAACATATAAACATCGAAAAGGGGGCGGGACAAGCCGTTTGCTGGTGCTCCGCCTCCCCAAAAGAAGGGTTCAAAAAACATCAGAACAAAAATCAGTAGTCAAAACGCGTAAAGAAGCAAACGATGCCGTTTTATCCCAAGGTATCACCATCCTTGTCCCACATGATTCGCCGTGGCACGTCCGTCCGTAGTAGGCTCGAAGGATTGTTCGTGGACTAAGAATTGAGAGGATATGATTGTTTTCCCTGCAATCTTCGTCGTCACACAGGCTGCCGAAAAGGTTGTTGTAGGGTATAGTTCGAAAAAGTGCAATTGTAGAATCTGTCCTTGTTTCTTTAGAATATCACCTTACAGCAGAGGCGCTGTCCTGGTGTAGGGTGCGCCGAGCACAGCTCTCCTCCAACCAAGGCGAGTCTAGCTCTTGGCAGAAATCAGAGATCTGTGCTGACTTAACGCTTCGAAACTTAGTTGGTGGTCTTCTCGACTACATCCTGGGCCTGTGCCTTCTTCTGGCCAAGGAAGGAGCCGATCCACTGTACGGTCTGGGCGGTGACTATGATGGCGGTTCCCAGGGCAGCCTTTCCGTAGATGACAAGTCCGTGGCCATTCTCACCGCCGGCCTTCTTATACTCGGAGTTGTAGACGCCAAGGACATGATCTTTGGTCTCGAGGCCCTTGTGGAGGGGGAACAGCACCACGCTCTTGGTGTCGGCATACAGCTCGCCCGTCTGCTTCTTCACGACGGGGAACTTGGAGTCGACCTTGGCCAGCGCCTTGTCGCCAAGATCATCGGCTTTTTTGACGTATGGGGAGACATATTGGTAGGGCTTCTGGAAGTAGGGCACGACGGGGGCAGCGAAGGTCTTGTAGGCGGAGTCGCTGAGCTGCAGTGACTTTTGACCATATGGGTTGCTCTTGAAGGTCTCCACGCCATCGTGAACAACGGGGTAGTCGAGGAGGTGCTGCAATGATTCTTCGTTAGTAACATTTCTCTGGGTGTTGTCTTGAGGTCTGGCGATTGACATGTGATTGACCGTGGTGGGGCGCGATCGCTTACCTTGAGGAAAGCAGAGCTAGCCACCTCGCCGTTAACTTGGGGCGCCGACATCTTGTGCGTGATAAGGTCAAATGCAGGAATGTGATGCTGTTGGAGAGAGAGTTACTCGGTCAGCGGGAGTTTCGGGTTGCAGTCAGCTGCAGGAACCAATCTGACCTACAGTGAACTGGGTGTGATGCGGGCGGCGCGGATGTTGGCCTACGTGTGAGGCTGAGAGTGCTGAACTGGACCGGTTTCGAGAGGGTGCGGATGTCTCACCAAGGCGAGAGTTGGGAGAGCAAAAGAATGCAGACAAACTGAGACGTCGTGATGATGATGATGCTGATGCTTCTGGATGCTGTCTGTCTGTTGGGAGGGAGGGGGGAGTAGAAAAAAAAGTCTAGTCAGATGGGAGGATGGGAGGATGGGGGTGTAGATTACTAGGAGGGATGGGAGGGTATTTGGGATGGAAGCGCAGGCGGGCCAGGGAAGGAGCTATCTAAGCTAAGCAGGCAAGCTTGCGGTCAGAGAGATACCTCAGTTACTTTACTTTACTTTACATATGACTTAGTGTCTCTGTGTGTGTCTGGTATGAAGGAACAAGCGGGTAGCGAGGATAGCGAGGGTAGGGAGCTGCTAAGGTAGGGAGGACATGGATGATGCGAGTGGGTGTATGTGATGCGCTGGATGTGAGTGGATGATGGCCAACTGACGCCACGCCACGCCTCGCCTCGCCATCTTCATCGACAGAGAAGCAGAAGCAAGCGAGACAAGACAGCGGCGGCCTTTTTGGCATGTGCTTCTGCGGCCTCTGGATTCAACAGCTACAAACACTAACTATGATCAGGTACCTTCACATTCCTGAGGTGATGCCCGGAACGGGACCCGACGGTCCTGCCATGCCATAGGCCCATGGGAGCAGCGCATGCGGGCGGCGCGGCCAAAAGGCTAGAGTGTTGGGCAAAGACACCACCATCTCACTACCTAGGTCCAGGTATCCTCGATACGAAATACTACACTGCTCACGTTAAGGTGTGTAAGAATGGCATGAGTTGGAGGGCATGGGTGAATCGAAATGCAGAGAGGAGTGCATGGTGGCATGGTGGGGTGCTCGGCCAAGGTTTCTGGTGCTTTAACGCTGCGCAAGCTCGCGCCACTCCATGGCAAAGTCGGTACCTGGCGATACACGCTGGCGCTGCTTGATAAGGGACCCCTGCAAAGGGCGCCACAGCTCGATCAGAAGCATGTGAATTGGCCAAAGCTCCCTAACCTTAGCGGCCTACATAGTAGGTACATGTAGCTTCCAGGTTCCATCCATCTCCTATCACGGAGTGTACTGTATCATGACGAAGTGGCCCCCCAGCACCACCACAACTTAAACTTGGAGTTCTGCCACAGCCACATGAAAAGCGTTGTGAGGCGTGGAGCAACGACAAGACAGCAGATCCAGGAGCATGTTGCCTGCTGTGCAACTCTAGACGAACAGCATCTTTCCCCTCAATCTCGACAAACACAGGCGGGCTCATGCAAAGTGTTTGGCGAAGACTGTCAGATGGTGTGTCCCGCGTCAGAATGACATCACGCCAGGCAACTGCTTGCGGGCAACTTTACTGTACCGGTACTGTGATGTGTAATGTACAATGCAGCGTTATCTCATCTTCCTCTGTCCATCGCTCCTTCCATGTTTGGCCTTACCACATCACACTTTCTGAAAGGTCTCGTGAAGCAGGCGCGACAATATGGCCGGTCGCTGTTTCCCTCTAACTGCGAGGATAAGGTGCATGTCTCTTATATGTAGATAGCTTGCATCAAACTTGGAATCGTCAATTGGAGCCACTGACTCATTATCTGCCTCATCACGGCAGCAGCATTTGCTTCATGCAGATCAAGTCAAGCCTCAGACCGTGCTACTGCATAGTACATGTATGATCGCATGGCCATGCCACTGTAGGTTAAGGTAGTAAAGTGCTTGCAGGGCTCAATCCGCGACAGTTCCACTCTACAAGCTAGCAAGGCAGTCTAGTGATACGAAAGCATGAAGCAGCTTAAAATACCATCCTGTACATTCAATATCAACACCCTCCCAGCCTGCGAAACAACACGCAACTCCCATTCGTTTCCTCCGTTGACCAGGATGGCCGTCTCGGGTAGCTGGCTCAGAGGCTTTCCACTGGCTACGGGGCTGCTGCATGCATGCATTCGTCCTTCACCGGTCCCCATCGTGCAACGCATCAAGCATCGTTCATCCTATTTCCAACGCGCAACACCAAACGGTGCATCACCTCCGAAGCAGAGGTTGACTGGCTGTTTGCACTCAGTCGCTCATTGGACAATTGAGCCTGCTTCCATCTTCGTTTCTCGATCGATGACATCCCCCATTTCTCCTTATCGCGAATCATGCTACACCTTGCTCTCCCATATATTTTGAGACCCGAGGCGAGATCGGAATACAAAAAAAGCTTATTGCTACCCACGGCCCGCTGCTTCCATCCAGAACTCGGCCTAGTCGGCTCCTCGGTATCTCAAGAGCAACAACAGAAGCGCCCCTACCATTGTCACGATGCCTTCCTGCCTGTGACACATGGAAATAGAATTATGTGGTTCTATTAATGAGACCATCAATGGCCAAGACACCCAATGACATGACGACTTCTGAGGCTCAACGATCGCTGTAGCATTCGGAATCGACTGGGCAAGGATCGGTGCTGTCTCTCGGAAGTTTTAGGGGGGCATTTAGGCGAGCCAGGGAACCCTGAGGCTACCAGTCAGTGGGGGCGATCCTTGAAGTGTATCCCACTTTCACATGCTTCGAATTGCGCAGGCAACGAAAAAGAAAATTGTTGCTTCCGCTGTCATGGTGGATTGGATGCCCTCAATGGGCACCGCAGACACTTCGTCCCACGTGCTTTTCGAAAAAATGCCGATGCATCCATTTCTACCCTGGTTTCGCCATACTTTTAGGGACCAGCGAAGCCCATCTCAAATTTCGCCTCCGGGCCATTGCTCCCTCGACATTGCCCGAACCCTGCGGACCTCGCTCCCTCCTGTCTTTGTCCTCCTGTTCCACCTCTCCGGCCGCGATGTTTTGGGTGTCCATTCCAGTCGCCCGCGAGCTGCGAGCTGGGCGAACATGCATGCATGAGTGAGTGCATGTGCAACCGTCTCATTTCGGAAACTGGGGAGCTGCTGGAGAGAAGTCCATTGCTATGGAGCTATAACGAGCCACGATGAGCCCGCTAAAAGCCCGAGTTGTGTCGCACAACACATGTCGACCTGCTCGTCACCTTATTTCAGCGAAGAAATAGGCGCCGCAAGCGGCGGCGCGGTCGATGGGACCCGAGACAACACAGCACAGCATCGGTTTAAACGGCGGCGAAATACTCGGTCTGCATCTGAAACCGATGTGAGCGGGCGCTGACAATAGTTTACAATAAAGATTGGCGGTGGCGCCTGCCAGAAGCATGCACATCATTTACCCCGACATTATGTGCGCTTTCTACAGGAGCGGCTCAACAATGAGGGAGTGATCGAGATTCTCGAGTACCTACTTCCGTTGAGAATCTCAACGGAAGTTAGCCCACTCACCCCGCGATCACGAACGTCATGACCGCCTGGCTCAATGGGCAAGGGTCGCAGTGCTAAGTGGCAGCTGGATGTCGACCTTAAACTTAAGAGACTGGCCTGGTATTTTACAGGAATTCTGGTATTTGAAAGAGACGATTGAGCAACCGTTATGTCGGGATTACGAGGGCCCGAGAACCCAACTTAATCAGCTGCCGCTGCTTCAACCACAGGCATAGCATTTCTACACGGCAGCTCCTTTCACTGAAGTGCCTTACCTCAAGGAAAGCCGCAAAGTCATCACTTGTTATCTTGAGGGTCAACCCTTGCCCAACACGTGGCGTTTTCTGTCGAGTGACAGAAAGTGGTGGGCAAACCTCACTGACACCACGAGCTTACACTCTTCTCATGACTGGCAATGATCCAGGGCTATACTTACCTAAGGATTGTCAAGGCAAGTCATACTTGGCACATCTTCTGTGCTCATGCTGCGACTTGTGGAGGAGACCAGGACCGCTTGAAGCGACATTGCTACCTCTTGTCAGTGAAAAGAGAGTTGCGCTGTTCTCTTTCACTCCGCCAAGGTAAGATATCTGATGGCTTCAAGTCAAAACTAGGGTCGCTGAACCTTGCCATGCGCCGTACCGCGTTTGCTATTCAGCAAGTCAATGTTTTCGTGTTTCGAGAACAGTCCATCGATCAAATCACCTATCTGCTGGATGATGCTGTACGGATGCTGAGTGAGCATCGCCTCAATTGCATGGAGGCATGACATGTTTGCTGTTTGCTGTTTACTATTTGCTATTTACAATAGAAGTATTGGCGTCTTATTTCTTGACTGATATTCAATTCAATTTTCTGTGCCAAGAGCTTTGTGATGATGACTGAGAGGGGTGTTTGCTGGAACTGACCTGAGATCGGATTTTTTAGTGTTCGGACTTAGCAATCAGGCGACGATTGGCCAATGCGCATGACGTGCCGATCACTAAGCTGGGACTTAGACGTAGGGCTGGACGCGCTAACCGAGTTCGGCCCGCCTGTAGCTGCTTCGCAAAGCATTACAGAGCCTTGACTAAGAGGGCACTGCGGGGCGATTTCCAATGCCACGATGCCGAATGGCGGGCCAGATGGAGGCTTCTTGATATTTCTACCTCAACTACCGCCAACTAGATCCGTCTCACCCATCCTCCAACGGCATATATAACTCCTCGCTTGATCAGAGCGTCCTGATGAAGCCTTTCTCGATATTGATATCCGCCATCGTTGGTATCGCATCCATCTTCCTCTTTCGAGAACGCATAATCGAGTCCGCTTCACTATTGCTACTCAGCTTGAGCAGTACACGAATTTCAGACTTCATCGGTTCCGCAACAGTACAACTTCCAATTCCCGGAGAACACCTCCTCGCATCGAACATGAGCGTTCCCAGAGCCATTCGCAAGGCATTCCTTGCTGTTGAGACGTCCGAGGGCGTCGGCGCAAGAGGTAAGACCATTGCGTTCAATCCCCACCCATTTCGTGCATTTTGCTAACATTTTCTTACCAGTCCGAAGATCAATCGGCACTCCGCAGCTACGAAACTTCTCGCCATTCCTGATGCTCGACCATTTCTCTGTCAAGCCCGGCGCAGGATTCCCCGATCACCCGCATCGTGGTCAAGAAACAATTACATACATGCTCCACGGCGCATTCGACCACGAGGACTTCGCGGGCAACAGAGGAACGATTGAGGCAGGCGATTTACAGTTCATGACTGCTGGCAAGGGCATAGTCCACTCGGAGATGCCTAGGCAGAACGCCGACGGTAGCGCAAACACTGGTCTCCAGCTGTGGGTTGATTTGCCCCAAAAGTTGAAGTTCTGCGAGCCGCGGTATCGCGATCTACGCGGATCTGAGATCCCCTCTGTCGATGTAGATGATGGCAAGGTACACATCAAGGTCATTTCTGGCCAGAGCCACGGCGTCGACTCAGTCAAAGATCTAGCCTACACACCGGTGTGGATTCTTGACATTGAAATCAAGCCAGGTGGCAAGGTTGTCCAGCCCCTGCCAAAGGGGTGGAATGCCTTTGCCTACACTCTTGAAGGAGATGTCTCAATTGGCAAGGACGGTGACAAGACGACTGTCGGACAGTACCACAATATTGTTTTTGAGGGCGAGGGCGATGCAGTATACGCCGAGGTGGACGAGAAGGCCGAGAAGCCTGCGCGCTTCGCCCTAATTGCGGGTACTCCTCTCGATCAGCCAGTCATTCAATATGGCCCATTCGTCTTAAACACCAAGGACGAGGTCTACCAGGCTTTGTCCGACTATCAGACCCACTCTAACGGCTTCGAGCGGGCGAAGGACTGGGCCAGCGAAATTGGCAAATCAATGGTGCACTAAGCTGGCTAGCTCTTGATGCCACTTAGAATGATTGCATGGCTGGTGTTCGGAGTCTTGTTTGGCCCTAGGTTTACCATTATACCACAACCACGAGTCGCTGCACTCGATTAGATGTATATAGCAAATTGACCACGTATAACATGTTATAACGAATATTCCTCCTGCTCCCCGACTTGTTGTTACTTTATATCTGTGATTTATCTGTGATTTCCCAACTAATCTATGCTTCGTGCTGCCCGTCAAATCAAATCCACGCAACCACGTAAGGGCTTTGCAGTGCCCATCGACATAGGCAACAACTGTCCCCCTGTGTTACGCCCAATGTGTGAGTTTAGGAAGCCAAAATTTATGCCATACTAACGGTATACCGCGAGTTTCTATCTGACTTGAGGGAAGTTTTCATACAAGAAATCATCCAAACGCAAATTGAGTCATCTCAACCAATCTTTACAACTCTGGTTTGAGCAAACAGCTCGCCCAACCCCTTTGAGACCAGCCCAGCCATTTTGAAAGCCGATTGGTAGCTAGATAATTGTTCGTTGTACCATGCGAGCTCTCAAAGATTATTTCTCAACTAAGAGTCAATCAATGGCAACCCGCCTTATCCCATTACCCCTATATCATTTTGATACTCAGCAACGACCACAGAGTTATCCGCAACCGAAGCCCCGCTATACAAAGCCCCTGAGTCCTTGTTCCTTCTGTTTGAACGCTTTGGTTTGACTTCTGCCTGGTTTGATGTCGTGATGTGATGAGGCTAGCGAGGGTACCCTCGCGAGTTGGGTCCGCTTTTGAAGTATGACACTCATACGGCACGGCCAAACCAACTCACAAAGCTTCACTACCACCACAATCCCTCTTCCCTTGAAGCCCAGATCCTTCCATAGCCGTCCTGAAAACTCTGTGAATGGAGTAAGTTGTGTTGGTTGCCTAACGTTGTCCCGTTTGTAGTCACCAGTTGCCATCTCTTAAACTCCCCAGGCCTCCTCCTGCAAGTATAAATACCCCAGCTCCCTCCCCATCGCATCTCTCAAACTTCTTCCCTTTGCATCATCATACTATCGTCCCGAATGCACCGCCCAGCAGTCTACCCTTCGCCAGAATGGGACAACATGCTCTGGCTCTTGGCGCTTTGGCGCCCGAGCAGGCCTCTGCCTTACCGGCAACTGCTTGCCGGCTATAAATATTCCTCCTTGTTTTCTCGAGAGCTAGACCTCTCCTTTTCTTCTTCGTCATCTTCGGTTTAAATCTCGATAAGCCAGTAACACGCTGGGTATTCCTTTGGTAAGCTGCCCTTCCTTTGCCCTTCCTCATGCCTCAACCAACACCTGACTTGAGCAGGATAAACCTTCGGGGCGATGATGAGATCCTTGTCTCGTCTTGAACTTTCTTTCTCCTTCATAGGATTGTCTGGTAAGTGAGATTCCGCTTGTAATCCTCACTCATACCCCAAAGAGCACGCTTGTACCCTGAACAGCACACTCGTACTGGTGGCCCCCATTTCTATCCCCCAAACTGTCTCGAGCCTGCACCTGTAAAGTCATCAGATCATCTGAACTCCCTAGTACTCCTTTCTCCAGATTCTGGGAGCTCAGTTTCCTCTCTTTTTGCCCTTTTTCGTTGAGTTTTGTGGCCTTTAGTAACCCTAACCTTGACCACACTTGCGGTTCAAGGCAACCCTCTTCCCACCTTTGCAGCCGTGCCAACCTTTTCCCCCTTTGTTACAACCTTCAACCCTCTCCCTCTCTTCCTACTCTCCACCTCGAACTTCTTCATACCTTCAGCCTCTCCCTATTGCCTTCCATTTCAGACGGGCCATCACTTGATGGGTATCCTTAAACTCCCCTGCCGTTATGTTAGACAAGTAAAGCACCCAAAGCACAACTCTGACGTCGACCCCCACTAGGGAGACCAGCCCAGGTTAACCAGGGGCCTTGCACCCTCCTACTAGTATCCTCATCCCTGGAGGAAGGGAGGCGTGCAAGGCTTCGCGAAAGCGTATTCTTTTTGCGCGGTGGTTGCCGAAGAGGTCTTGACCCGTCTCGCCTGTGTTCCCGGCCGGGAATGAGGACGGTTACCTCGTTGGTTTTTTCAACGGGGTACCTGAGCTCCTGGTCGGGGCATGCCTGAGCCGAGTGACACCCGGGAAGGCGTTGCCAGACCCTTGGGGGTATTGGCCGTTGAACAAGGTATGTTGTGGTAATTCCCAAAAATGACTTTCCCCGGCCTGCTGACATGATGAGTCATGACGGTAGTCGATAGCTGGCAGCAAACCAGCTGGCCACCTGAGCCGACCGACGAACTCTTTGGTAGCCGGCCCTTGGTTGTCGCTGTCCAAGTCAAGGCGGCGAGAAACCGGGGGTCGGGGCGCGACGCGTGGGCGCGCGGCACGGGGTTCTGTCCCGCGGCTTGGTATACCAAGCCCGGGCAAGGGGGGTTGGTCCACCACACCGCCCTCCGGGTTTCGTCCTTCCCGCCTCGTCCGTGTTGCTCCGGCGTGTGTCGCCTGGGATTCGGTGTGTGGCGGTCTGGTGGGCGGGTTTCTCCAGCCTGGCTGGAGAGCCCTCGACCAGCCCCCTCTGCACCGTCTCCCATTTCATGGGGTCTCCGCCGATGTAATTACGAGAGAAGAAGAGCATGAGCAATATGCTCCGAAGAGTAAAAGGGAGGTCCACCCTGTCTCTCCGGAATCTAGCCAACAAGATGGCCGGGAGACTGAGGTCCCAGTGTGAGTCCATGATTCCAAACTCTATTATGCAGCCAGCAACTCGACTGACTTATCTTAGCATCCAGGGGTGCGCCTTGGTCGGTCTCCAGAGACCGGTTCGGCGGTCCAAGTTCAATCTGTCGGGCCGCCCAGCTTGCTCAGTTCAAGAACAAGGCCACCAAAGAGACTGAGGTCCCTGGTAAGTTCAGACCGCAGAAACTTCAGCCTCACTCTTGATATCATTGCTGACGATAGCCAGCATTCCTGTCCGACTTCGTTCTCCCCGCCTCGGACCGGATGGTGGGCGTTCTCCTTACGCGCCCACGCCAAGGGTCCGGGGATGGGCTTGCTCATCCGTCGCCAGAGTCACGCCCGATCGCCGAGCCAGCACAAGACCCTTTCCTTGAAAAGGCAGTGAGGCGGTGGTTTTCACTTCCACCATATTGGTGGTCGTGTCGCCCCGGGTCGACAATGATGGGGTGTTGACGTTGTTGTGTACCGCCTGGGGTCTCTCCTCAAAGTTAATACCTCCACTGACGGGATGGTGACTCGGTACGCTCTTCGTCTTTGGGTCGGGTGTGAGAGGGAAGAAGGGCAATCCCGACCTTCAGGGTCTTCCCCCCTCCCCTCTACGTCATTCTTCTCACTTCGTGGGTCCCGTGCCGATATTACTTGTCATTTATGGCTGTGGCTGGGGCAGATGCTTTCACTTCCACCATATTGGTGGTTGTGTCGCGTCTGTCCTTCCAGGGGCTGAGGGTTCCGCTTTCACTTCCACCATACTGGTGGTTGTGGAAGCGGGCTCGCGAGGCACCGTTCGGCGGGACCTGGATCCATCGGACTAGAAGTTCGATTATCCGATGGGAAAGAAAGCAACAAAAGAGATCTATGAGAGACTGGTGACGCAGAACAAGCTGGATGCATGACTTTGAGGGATGTCTACGCCTTCCCCTGGCGATCTGAACAGGGCTTGCGATGTCTGTTGATGAGCTGGAAAATTGACTGGAGACGACACACTAGTCAATTATCAATGGAGGGATGTCAGTGAGCTCTGACCCTTGGGTACATGGAGAAGGATGAGATATTGGTGGGTACATCAGTGATCAAGTTTAGGCGCAGGACCGACCATGTGAAAAAGTACCACGACAATGATAGGAAGCAGCTTAGACAAGAATCAGGAGATCGCAAGAGACACTCGTGCTGGAGATGAAGGTGTTTCATATTGTGTGGGAGATTAGATCGTGGGTAGTAGGATGTAATAGAGCAGATGAGTCGTTGTTTTCTCATTTCCCTCTCTTTCAGCTATCATACATTTGTCGCATCGCGTTTTATTCATCGCTCGTAGCTGTACGATCAGCGGTGGACAAGTTTTAATGCATTTCCCACCCCCTCTTAACTCACATTAAAACTTCTCGTCCCTCGTGGCTGCCATTTGGTCAGATTTGCAGACGACGTACCTCGGGTCACTTGGCTCGGACTAACCGGGCGAGGTGGGTGAACTTCGCTGCTATAAGCTCACCTTGGGCTCTTTCCCGAGTTTCTCGAGGTCATCTCTAGGTGATTACTGTACAACTTGTACGATTTTAAAAGTGGTTAGAAAGTGTAAATTACTAGGGGTCGAGCTGATCTATTTCATAACGAAGGAACGTGTTCGGACACCAAAGCGCACCCAACAACCTCAATCACCACTCCCAACTTCTTCGTACAACAACAATTTATAAAGGAGCCCGGTTATTCCATGTCCTTCGATTGCTTCAAAATAACCCAAAACGACCTGTACAAGCGGTTGCCAAGATCTATGATATCACTGAGAAAACAACCCTACGTAACCGACGGAAGAGCAAGCACTGTCGACACGATATATTAGCCAGTAGTCTGAAATTAAACAAAGTGGAAAGATCTATACTTATGCAAAAGGTACTTGACTTGACTTTGCGAGAGTTTGCTCCCCAGATTCGTAAAATAGACCCAAGCTTCGCATTTAGCTTATCTCACAGAAGCTAAAATGAGCCGTCGTATGGCATCTCCACGATTCCATCAACACACCAATCCCTCACACCAATACGAGTGCCAATGCCGGATCTATATCTCTCTTGCCGAAAATCATTAGACAATTCGTTTATGCGCACCTTGTCAGTTTCCAAGCGGACCCAGACCTGACATACACTGTCAACCCACTGTATTTCGCCGTTGCTCAGGTCCCCCTTTGGCTTTACAAGCACCGCATTTGCGCCTTGTTGGCGAGGATTGTCCTCGGCGAGAATCACAATGAATTCTTGCTCACGAGACATCT